AACTTAAAAGAGTTCAATTAATTTATTTGTTAGAATAAGAATTTTTAATATCACGTATATAACACTCTTGTAACTTGAAATACATCGATAATATTAATCAGTGTATGTGTGCATATTTTCAGAAAATATTTGATAGAAACATAAATCATTTCACGGAATAGTTAATCAACAGATTCAGCAGATCCCAGTTGGTTTCAAGCATCCAAATGTTTTGTACCTTCAATATATATTCATTTATTATAATTAAAGAATATTTATGGAATCTCCAGAGATTTCCAATTAAGCGTACTAGTCATTGGATTATACCACAATTACCTGGATAATTGGCTCTCGACGAATCCGCTGCAGTCTGAGAATTCTTTATCGCATTTATATATTGATAACGCAGTGCGTAGAGATTGGTTAAAATAATTATATTCTCGTAATCAAGGTATGATAATTAACGTATATGATAATATGTACTTTTTTGAAGAAGCAATAAATGGGATTATAGAAACCATATTTTTAAGAGAAAAAAGGTATTTTATGAAATGATAAAAAAAAAGTATAAGCTGATTATTCCAAGGTTATGAAAAAATCTCAGTAAAATCATTTTCGCTTCGCTAAAAGTTTTATTTCATTCGTCAACCAGTCCGACGTATCTGTGTGTATGATTTCGTGTATGTATGTGTATGTGTATGTGTATGTATGGTTTTGTTTTGTATGCATTTACATTACACCTCGTTACTCGTAGTTGCCTACGTCGCAATTAATACAATATATAATAATATGTATAGTTTTGTTTTTTATCTATCTTGATAGCATACAAAAGGATACAGGCACACAAATATCAAATATGCATCCGGTACTCGTTATGCTATTGATCAATATAATTACACTCACAATGGTACCTCCATTCTCTCTCCCTCTCTCTCTCTCTCTCTCTTGTCGCTGTATCATACAGATATATACAAATGGTCGCACCCCGCGCGCGTCGGCGTGGGTGTATTTATAATACGTTTACACATATGTATGTATAAATTACAGACGCTATATACATCGAGAGATTATGCGGCGCGTTAATACCTTTCGGGATGGCGGAAAATTTCCTATCATCGCTCGTGCTAAATCTATTGATAAACCATCGTCGTTGTTGTTGTTGTTGTCGTCGTCGTACCTGCTCACCGCGCTTTCTTCGACTTTCTACGTACAATACACGTAAAGCCAGCGTAAGCGAGACATTGCACGCGATCGATCTTACGTACAACGGTTTCCGCTCTCGACGAGTTTCTCACATAGAAATCATGAACGAAACCATCAATCGCAATTCATATAGGTCGAATTGCTTCTATATAAATTACGATATAAAAAAATAACGCGCTGAATGATTTTGTGCGTTAAAAATGTTTTTATATTATTAATATATGTATATATACAATTCGAGAAAATTATTATTATATTAATTTATTTTTTGTAAAACTTGCCGTCTGTTTAATCGAGCAGAATCACGTAGATAAATTCTGTATAGTTTTTCTCGATGTAATTCATAATCGATACTACTATAACTGCGATGCACCAACGAGCGTAATGCAATTCCAGAAGGTCAATCGATCAAGCGACCTCACAGTTCGATCTCTTTTTTTATGACTCCCTCGTAGAATCGCATGTACGCATACGCATTTACGTGTCGTCGTATAAAAGATGGGCCAGTTTTCCCCCTTTCTGTGTCTGTGCCGTTTCCCCGTCGGTCCCCGCGTCCGGCTAAAGCTTCTTCCCGCATTTCTCATGTCAGATAGAAAAAGGGTTGCATGCGTGATTTATGCCCGAGACTTTTCCCCGGTCGCACCGGCTGCGCCGTGTTCCTGCACATTGTATACGTACCGATGCAGAACCGATCGTGTCGTATCTCGGTTATATCGGTAGACCGTGCCCGCGTATCGTTGTATCGTACTCGAGACATGGCGGCCGGAAGAAAACTTACGACCGAAGCGAGGAGTGTATACCGGGGGCAAGAAACTCGTATGATGCCAAGACACTGCTATCTTGTTCCGATATTACGAATAAGAATTAGCCGTGTAACGCGTGCGCGCGAACCACGAGAGCGAATGCCTTTATGCTTCGAGATTATTAACGTTTCTCGCCGCTGACGAGAATAATTCAAAATTACGACCATGTCTAATCTGGACTCCTAGGAGGTAGATAATGGCATCCGGTTCTGTTCGAACTAGTTCTAGTTAACGGATCGACCATTTGCGCAGTACTAGATGCCATTATTTACGTCTTCAAGGGGTCTTTGTATGTCGGAGGTATACTCGCAAACGCTCTCGGACGATCTGCACGCATTGTCTTCAGCAGTCGCTATTCTCACCGTTTAGTTGCTTTAGATTAGAATACGAAGAAAGAGAATGGACTAGAAATTTATTTTTATCTTGGAGTAATTTATTTAAGAGGAGGAGACTATGCGTGAAAGAATAAAAGATTAAAAAAAAGAAAAGAAAAATATATAAAAAAACATATAAAAATATAAAAAGATAATGAGAAGCTATAAACACACATGTTGAAGAAATTTACGGATGATTTCGAAGAACGATCGCGTTACAACACGAGGATATTAATTGGCGCAGTTGGCGCAATTTGCGGTTTCGCGGTATAAAAGAGACATATAAAATATCGCATTACAAAGTACGACGTGAGCAGGTACGAAAGTGTCTTCCTTCGTAATCTTTATCATTCCCCTGGTCGGGGAGAGGGAGAATGTTCCTTAACTTGCGCAACTTTTCTCTTTTAATACAAACTAACTTTGCGCTATATCTCGCTATCTTTCTCCCGCTCTTACGGATTACTGATTTAACTCGCCTCTGACATGTGTCGCGCGCACGTGCGCGCTTGAGACAAATTGACGATTATTGCCAGGAGCGGACTGTCAACGACTGAAAATGCGGGAAGTTCATGGTACTCGAATTTTCCGCGTCGTGGTAACGTTAGCTCGGCAAATCGATCGCAGTGCCGTTGAGCGAGAAAATTATCGAGAAACGTCGACGAAGAGGAAACTCGGCGAGCACACGATCGTGTCGATCTCCGATGTTAAAAGCGGCTAAGATCGGGCTCTCGCGAATCTCGAAGGCGACACGGGCCATTTTTGCCGTCAGTCCGTTGCTGCTCTATAACGATAACCGCTTGTACGTGATATCTCCCGTCCCTTAAAAAAACGACGATTATTATTGCGACGAAATTTTATTTGCTCGGTGCCTCCCAACTTAAGGCGCTTGAAGAAAGTGTGTGTGTGTATGTGTGTATGTGTACGAGGTCCCTAACGGTTAATATTTACACGCGAAAAGCGTTCGAAGCTGTCACTCTTAGTTTCCTCTTTATAATTTTAACATCCTACGTGGCGACGATATCGATTAAACACTAAATATACATAGCAATGTTCCAATCGTTGTAGACGCTACGCGCCGCAAACGGGCGCGACCTGCGCTGCGGAACGCTCGATTAAATTTCTCCTCGACGAGCCAGACTGTCTCGCGCTTAATCGAAAACCCGATACACGCGCGCGAACAGCGCTCGTGCAGTTATCCGGATAAAAATAGCGGAATGTCAATCAGCATCGCGTTCGGTCCCGGGACGTGTGATTTGCGAGAGCGTTCCCGGAGCGTTGCCGGAGAGACTGCCGGCCCGATGAAATGTGAGAGAAAAATTGAGCTTAATAGATTACGGTCCGTAATCAAGGAAAGTGCAGCGGTCAATAAACGACCAAATAATCGTATGGGAACACTATTTAAACGGCTCCGCGGTAAAAGCGCCGTACGTGTCTTAAATTTCGTGCCGCGTTCCACGTCAGATATTTAAACCGGTAATAAATTTTGCACCGCACATACACACAGGTGCACGGCCATCGCGGTTCGTCGACCTAGGAGAAGGGAGTCGCTGCACTTTACGGCTGCTCTTTCAGGGCGAAATTCAAGGGAGAGCTCCACCGCGCAAGGCATGCTTAAGCATATAACGTGCCTATATATATATGTGTATATATATATATATATCAGAATAGATGTACGATTTATACATACATATTAATTGTGAAAGA